ACGCCATAAAAGGAGCTTATGCTATACGCAAATGTATATACCCATATGCTGATGATGTGTATACAACTGCCACTTGGAGATCATTATATGAGGAAACTATTAATCCAAGAGGTGTTCCTGAAGAAGAATGGCGCGTCCCAGAGGTTGTTGAATTTGCAAAAGTTTTACCACCTGAAACAAGAAGACAACCTGGTAGACGAAGAAAACGAAGATATGAATCAGCTGAAGACAAGATAAAAGCATCACAACAGTCACAATTATCAAAAAAGCATAAGTGCGGTCGTTGTGGTAAAGAAGGCATAATCGAGTAACATGTGATGTAGCAATATAAGGTTTGTGATCGTGATCTGACTACTAGTTTAAAACTTAAGTATAGATTCCCTTCTTTTATATTTTGTTTTGATAATTGTTTTCTTTATCTTTTTCAGGATTGTGTTGCAACTGCTCTCATTGAACGTTTCTAGTTACCACTATATGGATATTGAACTTCTTTCTCATTTCATGATTATTTTCGCATTTTTTATTTCAGATTTGAATTTCCTAGTACTCTATGTTTGAATTTTTGTTCTCATAATTGGATTCCCTACTACTCTTATGTTCGTGGTTTTGCTTTGAGTTTTGGATTGACTTATCACTAAATTAAGTATATACAACATAAGTTCCAAGACCAATTTAACATAATTTAAAAAGAAACGTAAGAACCATAGTCTCAACCTACCAAATAGGAATTTTCATTTAGTTTATTGTTTATGGATGAGGGAACCCATTTGCTTCATAAAAGTCCATAAAAAATTACCACCACTTGTTGTTTTGCGTTCTCTTGATTCTGAACCTTTACCTCGAGGAGGATCAATGGCTCTTGTTTCGTCACCTTATTTCACTAGTGCATCAACTTATCAACCTCATATTTCATACATAGCCTATTCTTTGTTAATAATTGTCACAATGCTCATATGCGAGGGGAATTTAGTATTACTAATCATTAAGTACGAACCATAGTAAACTAAAAATGATATTAGATTAATAAGAACCATAAAATAAAGAAACGTAATCCAATGTTAGACATCTAAGTGCAAATTCAATGCAATCAAAAAACATCCCAAAATAGTCATAATAAAATCCAAACGATCTCAATCGATTTCTATGGTTTCGGAAGATAATTGTGGAGGTTTGTAGTTTTTCATTTGCTCAATTAAGACAGGATCATTTGAAGCTTCCCAAAGGTCTACTGCAATCTTCATACGCGCCTCTTGGATGTTCTCATCGGTTATCAAATCCATGTCTAGCCCAAGCATATGACACTCAATGTATTTCAACGCATATACTCCGCAGTGACTCTGAGAACTATTTAGAGCAGGGGGCACCTTGACGGGTATGATCTCATATTGTGTCAACAGAGGAACTTTCCCATATACCTTCGAGTGTACTTCTTTCAAAATCCGAGGAATCGTGTATGCGAATGGTTCCACGTACCTTCTGTTGTGGCCGGCGTTACAATCGAAGACTTCAATTGTTCTTAAAGCAAAGTTAATGCAAATAGAAATCCAATGACTATTATTGATGTTGACCGGAGCATAAATTCTGTCGACATCCATAGCCCAACGTTTACACGTCATTCCATGAGATGGGTTCTCACCGTAAACGTAAGAAAGAAGCCGACTATCCCATTTGTGGCTCTTCTTATTTTTCAAATACCTCTCATATTCGGTTTTGATTCGAGTACTAAACATGCAATTCATAAAACCAACACGATCTAACTGTAGTCGGCCTATAGATGTCTTTTCCCGATGTAAAAACAACATTGCATCAATTTCCTGAAAATAAATAATTGTTAAAATCGTAAACGTTACATTGGAAATATGTTGACAAAAAATAGTTTAAAGACTTACGTGATTGCCTAGCCAATTCTTGGGATTTATAACTCGATCAAATAAGGCATTAGTAAGTAGAGATGGACCGAGCTTAGGATCCTCGCGACTGTATAGGAAATATATAGTAAGGTTTCTCCACATTATTAGAATTGACCAGAAAAAAAATATATAATATGAGTGTTACAGGACTTACGAAAGGTTCATTTGCCATTCTGTAAAAGCATCCCATTTAGCTTCAGATAAATAAACCAAAACTGCGTCAACGTCATTTTTACCCGAGTCCCCCTTACATCTCCAGTCCAAAAACTCCGAACTGTAGTTATGGCGTTGTCGCGGGACGACATCTTCTCGAAATAATCCTTGTGACTGATCAAAATCTGGTACCTGTGTTTTTTGGGAAAGATGTCCCATTTCTCTCTGAAGGAAATCTTGCGTAGTCAAGTTGCAGTTGAGGTCTATGTCACCCGTTTGAGTAATGTATTCATCAAACATACAATTTTCATCCTGCCAATAAAAATCCATTGTACAAAAAAATTAACATAAATAGACAATAGCTACCTTTGCAAAGATATTCATCAAAGATATTTTACAAAAAACGATGAAAACTACAAACAAACACATATAGCTGAACTACAATGTTTTACAATACCAAATTACAACAAAACAAGCACACATACACCAACATACATTGTTTCACAATACCCAGAATACACCTAAACAAGTACAAGGCAGAACTACAATGTTTTGTGATGTCAAAATAAAAATGCACAATCAAGGTGTTTAATTTTTTACGTACCACTGCCTTTGACTTAAATGATCTTGCCTTTTCTTTTGTCGAAGTCTCAGCCATAGCAGTCACTGTTTCCTTCAGTGATGATACATCATCCTTCAGTGATGATACATCATCATGTACCTTCTCCAATCTCTTGTTTATTTCTTGCCCAAATTGCATGAACGAAGTTTCGAACATTTCTTTGATGAATGACTTCATCCCTTCAACAAAACCAGTCATCGTTGCGGCTCTCTGACATAAAAGTCTCATTTTCTGACTCTCAGCACCACGGTCAGCCTCCTTCTTTCGCTTCTTCGAACATGTCGGTTGTTCCTTATGACGTGTCTGCAAACTAGTCACTATGTTACCACCATCAATAACATCTGCAGCTTCTTTGTCATCACTGTGAGTGTCTGTTTGGCCTTCCACATATTTATCTTCGTCTAAAGGCTGGTCTATCTTCTCTTCTTCTATATTCTCTTCTTCTATCTTCTTTTCTTCGACAGCATCAATCTCAATATCTTCCCATTCAAACTCAGCAAAATCAAAACCAGATCTGATCAAGTTGTTCAAGTTTTTGATTGATTCATCCTTCTTCTCGCCTAGCCTCATGAAGTCTGCTGACTCATGAACATCATAATTTCCAGTAATAGAAATGTAGGGGTAGACAATATCCTGCAACATTACATTTACAGAATTATTAGTGAAGCATCAGAGAATAAGATTACAAAACATTACGTCTGAATATAATGAAACTAACCTTTGCTGTCATTGAGTTTTCTATCAAGATAATTTGATAATATGAGACCCTTGCTAACCCTTTCCAGTTTGAACATCTAGGGACTGCTCCTAATTCCTTGTTAAGCTTATGTCCAAATAAGAATTGTATCGAAGGAATCGCTTCCATAGCCCAAATCTGTAGAGCAAGTGAGAAACCATTAAGAAGGTAGCTTACTTCTTTCTTCAAGTCTGTCTTTACTTTGGTAATCGACTTGACTAGGTAGTCATAAGAATGTAAACCCCAAGGATACGCCCTCAGCTTTTCAAGGTCCATAACCAACTTGATGTATAATGTAGGGATATCTTTCTTCTCATCTCTAGCCATCACCAAGCCAGCTATAACGCACACATAGATAAATCTGATCCTGTCTACTTTCTCCCACGTGTGAACTGCTACTAAGTGCTTATTAAGAAGCGTCTTAATGCAAATCTTGTCATCTCTTTCCAACAATCTGCTCCAAAAGCCTCCATCATTTTTCCAACTCTCCAAATCATAACTGAAGTCGTCCTTGTATTTGAGACCAGTCACTGCGTAGAACTCTTGAAGAGAAAATCTAAGAGGCTTATTCCCAAACACAAACCAGAGTTCATGTTTCTTCCTTGTTACCAATTGTCTACACATCATGCTGTGTATCAAACGACCAGAATATCCAAGACCATTTTCATGTATCTTCAATACATGTGCAAACACGGGATCTTCCTTCACCTTCTTGTACTCGCTTGGCAAAGCATCTTCGATTTTGTTGAGGATAGACATTTTATAGTTGTTGTTAATCTGCCTAACTTCAGGCTCACTACCATGTCTTAGGAGACGTTTGGGAAACTCTTTAACGGTGCCTGCACATATGCAACTCAAACAAGTCAGTTAGAGTTTTTTTATTTTCTTTTGAAACAGAAGAAATGTACCTGTACTGGAACTGCATGGTTTTTCTTCCATTGAGGAGGTAAACTATTAGATCAAAACCTGAAAATATAGTCAAACAAGAACACATAAGCTTTTAAAAATACCTTAGAAAATGGATTAACCTTAGAATGGCAATGTTAGATGGATTAACCTATGTGGTGACTGTGTTGTATTTGTTCAAGTCTTCAAGTTCCAACTTTAAAGCACATGTTTGTGTTATTAGTTTTTTGAACCGTAGAAGTTTGAACCTGCAAAATAAACAGAAAATTTCCAGATTTGGGGAAATTTAGAAATAAAACCCTAAATACGAATCCAAAAATCTGTTAAAATCTACATGCAATTTCAATTGATACTTGGGTATCTCACGAAATTGAAACATCTAAAAGAAGAAGAGATATCGAGACAAATCTTCAGTTTTATTTAGAAAATCAAAGTAGATAAATCGAAGCAAAAAAACAAGAACAATAAGAAGGAGACAAACCACGACAAGGAAGAATCAAGGTTGAGGCTTCGCGAAACGGGAGGAGGCGGCGAATCACTTCGACGGCTAAGGTTTTTATCGCCGGCGACAAAAGGGTTTTAATTTGTCTCTTTCACGTTTTGGTTAATGAGGAAAAAGAAAGAAGAAGGTTTTTATGTGGGAGAAGTCTCCAGCTCAAGAAGAGGGTTTCAAAAAACACAAAATTATCTGAATTTAGTAAATTAATTAAGAAATAATTTTTTTTATTTTTGTTAATCACAGTTTCGAAAATATAGGGGTAATTTTGGGTATTGATTTTTCAAAAATCCTATTTCACCAAACTTTTTCTAGAAAAGTATATATGGACATTTATCCTCTAAAACATCCTTTATTTCTAATTTTCCCTAAAATTAATTGACAAGAAATGAATTAATTTCTTAACAAATGCCTCCTTGTATATTATCGAAATTTGGTTTGATTTTGTCTCCTCTTCATCGGATCTATGTCGTTTCCTTTCGACAAACCGGTTACCTCTACCGAGGCTCCGTCATGCCAATACCAGGAAGCAATTTTTATCATTGTCGAAGCCTAACTATTATTAAGTGAAGACAACAAGATTTGAAGATTTTAGTTTTTTGAAGATTTCTTTGGCGATTTTAAGTTTTTTTAAGTCTTTGAAAAGTATCTATAAGGAGAAGTTGTTAGAATTTTTAAAATTTCAAATCTTAGGGTTCTATTTTCTTTCTGCTTTTTCTTACACCGAATTTGTATAACCGGTTTAACCATTCTAGTTGTACCAAACCGGTTAAAACGCGAAAAAGGAAGAAAGAAGGCGGGAAAAGGGGATTTTCATACCCGTACTATCTGCACCGTGGATTTTCATACCTGAACAATTTCGTAGGGTATTTTACAACCTACACTTCAATAATATTTGAATCTCATACCTATACTTGATACAACGTGCAAAAATCAGAGTCAATCTAATGGGTGTTAGTCAACTCCTTTACGGTGCTGAGTCATCGTACACGTGTACGCTGACGTGTATCAAAACGATGTCGGTTTCATACCGCTTACTATCTGTGCCGTGGATTTGGATAACCTGAACGATTTTGTAGGGTATGTGACAAACTAAGAGTATCTAGTAACAATCTGAATCTCATATCGTATACTTG